GCCAACTGGATGCCTTCACTCAACTGGCCTTTCATTTCCCACCACCTCAAACTCAAAGCTCAGGGATGGCAGTTCGCGAAACACAGAGCCCACTTCTACTCCAGATTAGCCACCCACAAACGACTTTTCCGACGCCTTCGACAACGCCAGTACACCCTCAGAGAACCACACCTCTACACTTCCACTAAGCATCACGCCCTCCAACTTCTTCGCAACCTTACCAAACACACCGCAGCCTCTTTTGAGGCAGCAAAACAGCTAAGAAGCGGCCGCCACACGGACCTCGAAGTCTATGCAATCCGGCGTATGGCCGCAAACTTAGAAGAACCTGGCCGCAGCCGAGCTCTTCACATCCTCAACAAAGCCTTGATCTACCGCAACCTCACGCCACCAAAACCAAACATCCCATTGACAGTGCCCTTCTTGGCCCATGACGACTTTACCAAGCACTGCCAACAATGGCTCCGTACTACCATCCAGCAGCACAAGCATTTCACCATTCCCCTCCACCTCCCCTCCCACAGACTGAGGGAAGCCGCCCACAAAACCCTCCGCTCCCACTTGCACAACCATCGCACATGGGAGGACACCCTCCACTCCCCGCCAGATCCAGCAGACCTCCCCTGTGCATGCGATCACCTTCGCACCCTCCTGCAGGATCCCGATACCCCCACCATCAACGGCCACTACATCCTCACACTGGACAAACTCCAACTCCCTACACACCTCGGCATTTTTCTCAACGCCAATATGAACAGCACCTATTACCCAAGCAAAGCTCGTTACTTCCTCATTTTCAAGACAGCCTACACCAAATGGCTCAAACTACAAGGGCTTCCACCATCCCTAGTTCAACACCTACAGCCTTTCCTTGAGCACCAATGGCACCTTCACACCACACACCTCAAGCAGCAACCCCGTTTCACGGCCCGCCTGCTTCGTCAACTCCAAGAACATTTGGGTAAACACACATTACTCCACCATGCCGATCATGAGCTCCAACAACTTCGGCTGTTTTGCCCTCGCCAATACTTCGCTGGCGCCTTGAACACCTGGCAATCCCCCGAACTTTTCGAACCACTTCCCTACATCACTGCCGCCAACATCCATGACCACCTGGCCGCCACCATCCCCCCCATCCTGCGCACCCGCTACAAGTGGGGCTTCCGAAAAGACTTCAACATCCCCTACGGGGTTGTCCACCTTAAAGAGAAGAAGCACTGGCAAAAAGGCCGCACAATTATATCTTACTTCCAATCACTAAGCGGCAACTTGCTGCGCATCACCAGCCGTGCCCTTGACATTATCCTCCAACACCTCTACCCTCAGCATCCAGGCCAAATGTCCATTCCTCAGCTTTGGCATCACTTTCACAGTTACCTCACCCAAACCCCACCCGACATCTCACTACACGCCACCAACGATGACCTGGTCGGCTTTTTCAACTCCGTCCCCCAGCACCGACTCATCGATGCAGTCCACTCCCTTGTTCTCCACTGGCAACAACAGCAATCCACACACACCTTAACGGTGGATGTCCAGGCTACCGGCAATCCTTTCCACCACTCCCACATTGGCAGACACCATCGCAAACACCCTACCCAACGCACCATCCAGACTTCCGACATCACCACCATTGTGGCTTTTGCCCTCGACACATGCATTTTCCGGGCTTGCAACAACACTTACAAACAAATCCGAGGGGCCGGGATTGGACCCCAGCTCTCTCCAGCCCTATGCAACGTTGCTATCACCCTCATTGAGCACTCCTGGCATCAGATACACAACAACCTCCTTCAACACACAGACCTCCACTTTACTTACTATCGCTATGTTGACAACCGTTTCATTGTCCACAACGAACATTTCCTTCAGCACCCGGCCATCCAAACCCTTATCCACCACAATTTCTTTGGCGACCCTGTGGAACTCGAACCGGTGGAAGATTTTCATCTCCTCGGTTTCAACATCGACCTCCCACAACGCACTATCACCTACATGCAACCTTCTCAACCCTGGAAAATCCGGGATTCCACAACCGCCGGGAGCCAGCGCTTGGCTCTATCAGGCCTCCAATCACGACTCCACACCATTCGAAAATACACATTTCCACCCTCCAGCGCTGACGCTGCTGCGGCTGAACTCGTGAACCTATATG